CTGGAGCCCCTTTAGGCCCTGGAAGGGGCTCTCAGGTCTCTCTGGAGCCTTCTCTTGTCCAGGTGAGCACCCCCAACTCCAGAGCAGAGGGGCTCCAGCCCTTGGAGCATCTCTGAGGCCTCCTCTGGACTCTCTCCAGCAGCTCCATGTCCTTCTGTTGTTCCCAGAACTGGAGGCAGCTCTGCAGGTGGGGTCTCACCTGAGGGGGCAGAGGGGCAGAATCCCCCCCTGCTGCCCACTCTGTGGGATCAGCCCAGGGCACGGGAGGTTCCTGGGCTGGGTCATGTCCAGCCTCTCATCCACCAAACCCCAGAGTCCTTCTCCCCAAGGCTGCTCCCAATCCCAGTTATCTGCCCAGCCTGTGTTAGTGCTGGGATTGCCTCGATCCATGTGCAGGACCTAAGGGAAGACAGCCTTTTCAGGGACAAGGAGGGGTTGCTGTGAGGAGTCACTCAATGCTGCCTGAACCTGTGGCACCTCTTTAAATCCATCAGGCCAGTATAAAATGGGATTGGACTGAGCTGTGTGACTTTCCTTTGGCCGGATCTTCTCATTTGCTGAATACCCTCAAGCTGTAGTACTGGGACTTGTGCTGTTCTCCCAGCTTGCCATGGAATCTGTAATCAGAATTTGGAAAACGGTTCAGTGTTGGTTCCCTTTTGGCCTTGCTGCCAAAGCCATAACGAGCTCCTGGAGCAATGAATGCCAGCTCACTACAGGAGCTGCAGAAATGAGGCAGCAATTTAGAAATAAATCCTAACTTGCAGAGATATTTCCTTCAAAGTTTCAGATTAGGAGAGATCGAGGTCTAATTCAGACAGAAAATGTCAATGATTTAATTCCTTTCTTTTTCTTTGCACAGCTCTTGCTTTTTAAATGTACTTATTTATTATGAGCACTATTGTCTACTCCCCAAAATCTCAATGTTTGGGTTTTTTTTTCCTGTTTGGGATGAAGATTTTGTCTGAACAAACAGACTGGACTTTATAAGTTGCATGTTTTTTGTAACAGCAGCTGTGTCTGTGGTTGTGCAGTTTGGAGTTTCAGTGGTGTTGACACTGTACCCTGAAGTGCAGATTGGGCCTAGTAAGGATATTTGAGGGAATTCTGACCTGAGCTGTGTAATTCTGTGTACTGCACTGACTACTGGAGTCACTGGTTTGAGTGTGGACTGGGAGGACTGGACTCAGTGGGTTCTGAAACGAGGGCAAAGCGATTGAAATGTGCCTGATGGTGAAGTGATAACCCCAAATGTTATCACTTTGCAGCAGCTGCACAGGGCCCCAGGAGACAGGAAGAGGATCTTGTGAAGGATGACTTGCAGAAAGAGAAGGAATTTTTTAGTGCATTTGTAATGTTAGACAATAAAACCCCCCAAACCACCAATCCCAGTTCAGCCAGCTGTAAATATGGTTGGCATTGGGAAAAAATTCCCCGAGGATAATCATTGCAAGTGTCCCCTGAAGCCATTCCCCTTCTGAAGTCTTGCTTCCTCCTTTCCTTTCTCCCAAGTGACCCTTGTGGACTAAGGCTGTAAATATTTCTGAATTCTTTAAAGAGGAGAACATGTACAGACACGTTTCCTCTTCCCAAATATTTGGAGTATCTCAGGTCTTAGGAAATCTAAAGTAACTTTTCTCCTCCCACATATGATGAGTTTGAGATGCAGAGAAATTTTAAGGGTTTTTAAAGAGCCAGTTCTCCCTGGAATAGGTGAGGCTGATGTTTATTTATTATGGCTCTGCCCTGAAGTGACTTGCCCAGCTGTCAGAACGAGACAAGAATTGAACCCAGATCTCCTCAGTCTGGGTTTGTGTACAACAAAAATGTACAGTTGAATAACATGTGAAACTCAAGGCAGGTTTAGATTATTAAAATTAAAGAGGACAAAGCTGGAATTTTAAATTTGGATAGTGGATGCTTCAAAATTAATCTCCTGAGTCTCCCTTGTACACAATACATTTGCTGTTCACTGGCACAGAGCAGGGCTGGTGGATCTGTGCACGTGATTAAGAAACAAGGTTAATGATTCAACCTTTATTTTTCTAATTTGATTAAAAAACAAGGTTAATGATTCAACCTTTATTTTTCTAATTTGATTAAAAAACAAGGTTAATGATTCAACCTTTATTTTTCTAATTTCTCTCTGCTCTAGACAAAAGAAACTAGAACAAATGATGGAAGAAGAAGGCTTAAAAGATGAAGAGGTAACAAATATGGAAAAATTATCTTAATGCTTAAATACAAGTATTTTTCTTTTCTAAATGGAGATCTGGGATCTTTCCTTGAAGTTGCTGTGATCCCTGTGGAACCCACCTGCAGAATTCTCACTGGGGTTTCTTAAATTCTAGAAAAGAATCAGGAGATCAGCTCATGCACAAAAGGAAACGGAGTTTCTTCGCCTAAAGAGAACAAGGCTTGGATTGGAGGACTTTGAGTCTTTAAAAGTAATAGGCAGAGGAGCATTTGGAGAGGTGAGTCCAGAAAAAAATGTGGTTTTAACTGGCTCTGGAGTCTGTTAAAGGCTTGCTTAGTTTATGCAAGCCAAAGGTAAATGTTGTAGCAACCACAGATTGATTTTTAGCTGAACAGTCACGTGCATCTTTTTACCTAATAAATGCTGGTTTAAAACGTTCTGTGCTTCAAAGGAACCTGAATGACGTCGAAAAGGACCTGCTGGGCAGGTTTGGAGAGGGTTTTAATGGTGAACTCCTGGGGCTGGGCTGAGGGAGGGCTGGAGGGCCCTTGCAAAGCCTCTTCTGGTGGCCTTTGGACCCCCTGCTTTAGGTGTGAGTTGCTCGGTGGTATCTCTGTTAAAATTCTCTCTTAGAATTAACGGGACTTTTTGCTGTTTCTGTGCACTGTGCTTTTTGGGGCTTTGTAATCTGATATGTTTTCATTGAGTGGATCCCCAGCTTTGTCCAGAGGTGTGCTGGGTCTGACTGCAGTCTTTGTGTGCTCCCCAGGTGAGGCTGGTGCAGAAGAAGGACACGGGGCACGTTTATGCCATGAAAATCCTGCGCAAGGCTGATATGCTCGAAAAAGAGCAGGTAAATACCCCCCTGGAGCAGCACTGAGTGACTCCAGGAGGTCACTGGGATGTGCAGAGGAGGAACAGGCAACTCTGCTTTAGGTTTAGTAGCTAAAAAATTGTGGGCTTTTTTTTCCCCCCTCTTTTTTTACTGAGGAAATAAGTCAGAAAAACTCCTGAATTCCTAAGGACTCGTCTTCTGGTGGGTCTTTCAACACAAACTCATGCAAATGATTCAGTGTAAACTTCAAGATCAGTGTTTTCTTGCATTTCTGACTTATGGGATCAGATATAAATATCAAAGTGATACAACTGCTGGAATTCAGACTCAGACAGACATGAAGCAGCAGCATTTAACATTTTTAAGGCTTTCCTGTAGTGCTTCTGGGAATAAAATGATCTGAGACAGTCACTTCTTGTTCAGCACTGGGGTGAAGCTCTGGGTTTTCAAAAAGAGGTCTAATGGTTTGATATTTTTGTAAAGAATTGAGATATTTTTGAGTGTATGGTTTATATTATATATAGGTTTAATAGGTATATATAATATATAAACCATACTATATAATTAACCATATATTGAAATTCTGATGGTGTTTCTGCCCTTGTGCAGAGGTTTGACCGTTGAATTCTCAGTATTTGCTGCTTTCCAGTATAACAATTGAATTGCCTGTGCAATAAAAGCATCTGCTAAAACTAACCCAGGGCATCTGTGTGTGTCCAGGTTGGGCATATCCGGGCGGAGCGGGACATCCTGGTGGAGGCTGACAGCCTGTGGGTTGTGAAGATGTTCTATAGCTTCCAGGACAAGCTAAACCTCTACCTGATCATGGAGTTCCTGCCTGGAGGTAACTGGGATCCAAAAGCTGCTTTCCTGTTGTTTGGGGATTGCTGATTTCCTAATTAGCAAATGTAGTCTGAGATTAGAGTGTGTGTGGGTACCCTGTGTTTGAACATCTGGGAAGGAACAAGTCTTTGTAAAGGTTTCTGCTTTTTGGGGTACTGAGATGTTTGGGGCAAGCTTGAGGTCTCCTGCTTGGGTTTGACTGCAGGTGTTTAAACTTGGCCTAAATATTCTTCTAATTCCTCCCCTGGCTGTCAGCAGAACCCCCACATAACCAGGTTTGGATTCTCTAACCTGTTGGTTTTAACTGAATGCAGCAGAAATAGCTTTTTTTCTATAAAGGTCCCAGGTCTTTCCTCATAATGACCTGGACTGACCACATGGACTGATAAAATCCCAAATCTGGTTTTCCTGATTGAAAATTGAAAGTGGTGGTGGGACAGTGGTACCTGGAGGCTGCAGGGGGAGAAGTTCCAGTGGGAAACTGGACAGAAGGTCCCAATTCTTTCCTCATCACAACCTGGACTGTCACATGGACTGTTAATTTAATGTCTTAAATTAGTGAGAGTGGAGCCTGTGTGTTCACCTTTGGGGGGTTTCCAGGTGACATGATGACACTGTTGATGAAGAAAGACACTCTAACAGAGGAGGAGACACAGTTCTACATCGCTGAGACCGTGCTTGCCATTGATTCCATCCATCAGCTGGGCTTTATCCATCGGGATATAAAACCAGACAACCTCCTCCTGGATAGCAAGGTATGGACTGGCCACTCCCTGGGGAGGATAAATAGGCCTTGTGATTTTTAATATTGACCTGAACTAGTGATGAGGGTTGTGAAAGAAGATGGTGCTTCTTTTTTTAGCCCTGTTCTTTCCAGCTTTTGAGGTGTAGCTGCCATAATCCTGGGAAAAACCCAAGCCAGGAAAGACCTCCCTTCCACCCCAGCTGTGCTCAGACCTCGAGCCCTCTGACAACTGTTTAAGCTATTTTTGGCTGTTTCAGCTGGAGTTTCAGTTCTCCCCTCGTAGTCAAAGCTGTTTCCTTTTGCTCTCACATCTGTTATACTCCCACTTGCCAGCATGGGCATAGATGGTTCTATCAGACATGAAGGATGTGGCTGTTCCAGACTGAGAATGGAGGTGGGATCTCCCTCAGGATCAGGATCTATTCCTGAGGGCTGGCCAGGCTACCTGGTTATTGCAGGCAGTTTGCAGAAAGCCTCATTGTTTGAGTATCCTCCTGTTGCTTACTCCAAATTACCTAAAATCAAGCTTGCTTGGAAAAGGTTTGCCAGCAGTAAATAATTCCTTTCCCACTACCAGGTTGGAATTACTGATGTAAATAATAGAATCACAGAATCCTGGACTGATTTGGGTTGGAAGGGACCTTAGAGATCCAGTTCCACCCCCTGCCATGGGCAGGGACACCTTCCACTGTCCCAGGTTGCTCCAAGCTCTGTCCAACCTGGCCTTGGACACCTCCAGGGATGGGGCAGCCACAGCTTCTCTGGGCACTGTGTCCAATTCAGTGTGTTTACATCTAGATGTAGATAAATTTGGGGCTTTGAAAATATATATTTTAGATATACTTCTAAAAATTGCACTTAGTGTGGTCATGTTATGCACTAGGACAGATCCAGTCACTGAATTTAAGGTGTTTCTCTGTCTCTTGGGGTCAGTTCACAACCCAGGGGCTGCAGCTGCATCTGGAGATGTTTCCTTTCACTCTGAAGTGATTGGGAGCTGCAGGAGCAGAGGCTTCTTGAAGGGCTTTCTTTGTGGAATAGTGATGAAAGTATCAACAGCTTCACTCCATGTACACATCCAGTGTTAGGCTAAAACAAGGAATGCAAAGGACATGGAGGTGCTGGAGCGTGTCCAGGGAAGGGAACAGAGCTGGGAAGGGTCTGGAGCAGCAGGAGCAGCTGAGGGAGCTGGGGGGGCTCAGCCTGGAGAAAAGGAGGCTCAGGGGGGACCTTCTGGCTCTGCAACTCCTGAAAGGAGGTTGTGGCCACGTAGGGGTCAGGTTCTGCTCCCAGGGAATAAGGGACAGGACAAGAGGAAACAGCCTCAGGCTGTGCCAGGGGAGGTTTAGGTTGGATATTAGAAAAGATTTTTTCCTGGAAAGCGTGATCAGACACTGGAATAAGTTGCCCAGGGAAGTGGTGGAGTCACTGTCTCTGCAAGTGTTCAAGAGGCATCTGGATGTGGCACTTGGGGACACAGTTTAGGGGGGTGAAGGTGATGCTGGGCTCTCTTCCAACCTTGCTGATTCTGTGATTTGCTCTGATAATGTCTTGTCTTGGTTCTGTCTTTTGGTTGGTTTGTTCATTTCTAGGGCCACGTGAAGCTCTCAGACTTTGGTCTGTGTACTGGACTGAAGAAAGCCCACAGGACAGAATTTTATAGAAACTTGAACCACAGTCTTCCCAGTGACTTCAGTAAGTTCTTTGGCTCCAAAGGGTATCTGGGTGGTTGTTCTCAGTGCCTGACATAACTCATTTTAGTGTGAAGGTAGAAAGCTACAGTGGGGGGTTTAATAATTAAATTACATCTTGAGGTGTAATTTTGATTTTCTGTAAAATAAAAATAGTTTCAGTTACTTTAATGTACAAACCCATCTTCACTTCCAGAAGTTTGTCTCTGAAACAGGCTCTGCTGTAGCCCTTTGCATGTGTAATAAACCTGGCATGAAAAGATGGTGGCTGGATCTCAAGTGTTATTTAAATTAATAAGCAAGGACAGGCTCTCTGAACATACTTGGATATGGAATAACTTGGATCATGGATTTAAATAAACCCTGCAAGCATGGATCAATAATGAAAGGCTGTTGTCAGTCAGATGTTGTCAATCTTACATGGGTTTGGAAGTTGCTGGTAGGTTTAGATTTAGGGTATTGACACCTGTCTTAAATAAGATCTTTAGTGTAACAGTTTGGGGGTTAAAATGTGTATTGGGTGACTATTAGGATTCAGTCACAGATATTGAATCTCCTTTAGCTTTTCAGAACATGAATTCCAAAAGGAAGGCAGAGACTTGGAAGAGGAATCGAAGGCAGTTGGTAAGTAGGTCTCACCTGGCTGGAAATGTTCCTGCATCCAAATGGCCCATGGATACCCGTGGAAGGGGTTAAAGCATTCCAGAGTTCTGAACAATCCTGAAAGGAAGAGATTGATGCTTTTTTTTTTTTTTTTTTAAAAAAAAAAGAGGAATGACTGTAATTTGTCCTTC